TTCCACATCATCTAAAATTGATAAAAAAAAATTTCAAGAAAATCAGACATCTATTACAATTTTTTGGGATAATTATTAATTATAAATTTAACCTACTATGGGGGAGATACGAGAAAGTGTGACCCGAGGTACCAGAAGGGGTAGGCCGATATATATCATCTTCACATCTTCACTTCGCATTATACGTAAAATTTTGAAGAGAATCAGATGCATAATTCCCATTTTGTAAGAGTCATAAATATTCAAAATTTTGACCAGGTATGGGAAAGGTACCAGATATATCCCATATTTGGGATGTGCCGAGTTTGAAAATAATCGGATGCTTTTTCTGCGTTTTATAAGCTTCATGGTTATACAAAATTGCGACCCATTGTGGGGGAGGTACCAGAAGTAGATCGATATCAATACCAGAGCTTGTGTTAATATAAATACTGGGATGTGTGAAATTTTCGGACAATCGGATTTTTATTTCGAATTTTATGACAGGTATTTCTATTTAAAATTTTGACCCGTTGTGGGGGAAATACTAGAAGAAATGGTCCGATCTCTACCGTCTTTATAACAAATCTTGTGTTGATGGAAATATTGAGATGAGACAAGTCTGAATGGAATCGGATGTTAATTTTGCGTTTTATAAGATTCATGGATATTCAACATTTCGACTCTTTGTGTGTTGGAGGTACCAGAAGAAGTTGTCCGATATATTCCATCTTCACACCAGACCTTGGATTAATAAAAATATTGTGATATATCTAATTTTAAGACAACCGGACTCTGACCTCACATTTTATAAGTGTTATAATTATTCGAAATGTTGACCCCTTATGGGGGAGGTACTTGTTGGACTGGACCGATATTGTCCATCTCCGAACTCAATCTAAGTTTGATAATAATATTACGACCAAGTTTGGACCAAATCGGATACTCCCTTCGATTTTTGGTCTTATCAAATGTTATATACCCTCTCTAGCCATATGTCGGAGGGTATAAAAACATACATACCATACATAACCCTGCCCCTTAAAACTACCGGCCGTCAGTTTTGTTTACCTTTTCCCCCGTGAGTTTTCACTACTTTTTTGGGTGCCTCGCACACACACACACTCTCACATTGACAGAATCAAGTCAGGTTGGAGCTTTGATCCACATGGAATGTGGTTGTTGCTGCTGCTTCTGCTGCAACAACAGCGGAAAGATGACAGTAAAAAATTGCCTAGAAAAAGAATCTTTTCGATCTCCAAGCCATAGGCCGCTCTCCGAAATGTCATCAACTGGTCGGTTGGCATTGATAGCAGCATGGCAGCAGCTGGCAGGCAGGCATGCAGGCTGACTGGCCAGGTTGTTAAATCATAAATTCATTTCGTTGCATATCTGTCTGTCCGTCCCTTCGACTGTCTACCTTTCGGTTGCTTGCCTTTTAGTTGAACTATCCATCTCTCGGTGTGTCTGACATAGCCAACCAACCGTCCAACCAACCAGTCAGCCGACACAATGCAAGAGTTTTTCCAATGTAAATCGGTAATCGTTCATGGTTGGAGTCTTTTTTCTTTTTAGCTGGCCAAACAGCAATGCATGGCTGGAGTCATCTTCGATGCTGCTGTGTTCTTGTTGTTGTTGCTGCTTTGTGTGCACTAGCTGTGTGCATAAGACGACCATCAACTTGCTTAAGGCCATTTGCTATTATTCGGATTCGTATTGGGGTCCGGTTTACAGCTCATGGTACGATGTCACTTTGGCTGGCTACCCATCGAATATCCCCTCACCCATTCCGCTCTTAGTTTTGTGTTTTTGTTGACCAACAAAAACAACAAAAACGACAACATCAGCAGCAGCAGAAGGCAACTTCAGTAATCAAATGCATGATGATTGTCATCATGCTCCTGAGGGCATAAATAATGCTCTGGCAAAATGTTTTCCATAAGAGCAGCAGCAAAACTGACATCGGTCTCGAGCATCATCTTCTGCAGCAAATGCTGGATGCTGTTTGGAAAATGGAAGCAGATTTAACATTCCAGATAAAAATAAGTTACAATTGTCTTTCATTCTGTTTGTGGAGTGGCGAAGGGTTGGGTGGGGGGTACCGGGAGTAAGCGTTTTAACAAACTACTTTGATAATTCGTTGGTAATCTCTTTGGCTGGAGGTAAAACTTGGCATATCCTCAAAATGTTGAAAATAATTAAATAAATGGCGTGACAATTTAATTTGTCACTTTTCATCAAAGTGACAAGTGATGGTCGGTCTCCGGAGAGGAAGTGATTTTTCGTTTGGGGGGGAACAAATGGCTATAAGAACTAGGGGTCTGCGGAGAAATTGAGATTTGAATATTGGAGGAGATTTTAGAACCTTTTAGTAGTATTTTGTATTATTTGTAACGTATACTGATTTAATGCGGTAATCGCGGATCATCTCGTTAATTTCCATGTTTATAAGACTCGCAATTCTGGCGCCACCGCATTAAACGTTCAAAAATGAATTTTAAAACCTTCGTTGCATTTAGCAGTGTAAACCCTAGGGTCTTTCAAAAGATTCTAAATTACCTATACTGCGAAACCATAGTAAATTCTTAAAGTAAAAGTGTAACCCTGGGTTTGCAAAAGACAGTCCCGTTTATTTCATGTATTATTTGTCAAAAACAATAAACTTTGTCTCAGAAACGTAATCGTCCAGATAAAATTATGAATCAGTGTTCCATCGATATATAAGGTGGAAGGATATCCAACTACCCAGATCCTGGCTACGTCGGGAATTGTTATACCCTCCACCATAGTATAGTCCTCATATAACGGTACCTCCCGATATTCAGTATTTTGAAGATTTTAGCGACATTATTCAACGGAATTGTTTCAAATTTGGTATTTGAAGTTCGTAATGTATACTGCAGCCTATGACAGAACATTGTCTGTGCAAGTCTAGGTCTTCGTATAGCTCTCATATAACGGTACCTCCCGATATTCGGTATTTTGATGATTTTAGAGACATTATTCACCGGAAATGTTTTAAATTTGGTATTTGAAGTTCGTAATCGATACTACAGCCTATGACAGAACATTGTCTGTGCAGGTCAATGTCTTCGTAGAGCCATGAAAAAAATGAACCTCGTAGGACACAATAGGACCATCTATAACACTTAGGGTGCATGAGAGAGCTAAGTTATTGGTCAAAAGACCTAAGTTGTTATCGCGAGAAAATTCAACATACCAATCAATTGGGCGCCAAACAGCAAAGGGCAAAATATACTAAATTAACACCTGCTTTTCATTGGGCGCCACTTTTTGCCTACGAACAAGCTCGAGCTCTTTCTTATAGGTTTTTAATAAATATCAGTGCCTCTTGCCAACAAAAAAACATGTTGGGACATTACTCCAAGTGCTTGGAATTTGTGGTAGGAATTTAGTCAGTGTGCCTGTGGACATTGTGGACTCACATTTTACGGAAGCCATGCTGATGTTTCGCAACTGATCCAAATTTTTAGCTTCGTTATTATTATTACCTTCGTACTATTTATGTAGCTTGACAGTGACGGGAGCCCCCTTCTAATTTTGCACACAACGGGAATTGAGTGGTCCCTCGAAATGATTACTTTTGTGCTCAGTTCTTTTCGTTGGGCGCCAATTGATGGCGATTTTCAAGAAAACATTGGATCGATCTTTCAACATACGAAAAGTTTCAAAGCAGTCGTCCTCCGACACATTATTACGTATTGTTTTAGTAACTCTAAGAAAATCCCATGTCGATTTTTTAAATTATGCAAATGTTTTTTTAAAAAATCCATTGTCCATATGAACTTAATGAACTAGGTAAAGTACAGAAAATCTAGATTGAGGTTAAATGACACTGTCTTCTTAATTCTAATAATCATTATGGAATTTTTTTGTTTTCAAAATTGTTTTTTTTTTGCCAAAATATCTACCTCCCGACTGACTGAGTCTGCCACTCGTCTTGAAACTTCCTTTCACAGGGTTAAGAGAGATATCATGTAATTTGGCCTAAACACTTCTGCATCAATTGACAGTAATCTTGAGCTCTTTCTATCATAAAATCGTAAAATCGAACAGTAAGCGAGTAGGTCCAACTCCTTTCGTTGGGCGCCAATTGATGGCGATTTCCGGAAAGCATAGCATAAAGTTCTGATCTCCGTTGACATATCTTATTACATATTTGTTGTTGGAACCCAAAAAATCCCCATGATATAGTTAAAAAGATAACGTAGTGCAATCACGTGTTATTTTTTTTTAAATTATGTATACATTTGACCATCCTAATTCTGTCAACACAAATCAGAGATGGGAACCTGTTTTTTATGAACTTAATTTGACAAGGTCAAAGAGTCAAACATTTTCATAAACCGTAGAATCGAACAGCTTATTACGTTGGGCGCCAATTAATAGCGATTTCCTTTTCAATTCTTCAGAAAGAGACAATAATTTGGAACTTTATATATCATATACACACCGATCGAAATACCCGTCTTCGCCCATATTCAGGACGTTCTATTAAATATATTTGATTATAAACTTTAATTTTCCCATATAAAGGGTCTTATTAGAATATAATTAATGTAGTCCCTAATGAGTCATTTTAAGTGTTTTTTTACAAGCATTTTCCTTACCGACGATTACATTTGCCCAGCACTGTGATGGGAAGAGTAATCGATAGTGGAAGTCAAAGTTACTTCGAAACGCGAGAGTCATATAGAGAAATACACAAAAGAAGTGTCAAACAAAAACACAACACAACTCACTGGAAGTCTTCGCGAGAGGGTGGAAGAGAGTTCTGTTGGAATGTCCGTCGCAATTTACTCTCAGAACATGTTGTCTATCTTTGTTGCACACCAACGAAAGTATCTGCGAGATACAATTTTTGGTATTAATTCAATGGACTATTGAACTTACCACTCCAACAGAGGAGAGTTCCGGAGAGAGAGAGAGAGAGAGATAACACAGAGAGAAGAGAGCGAGAGAGCACTTGAATTTACCGCGAGCGACACCACGGCTGAGGCAAATACAAATTTGAATTTCTTGCACTCATCAGATACTCAGATACTAGTAGACATTGAAACATTGAACTTAGACAGCGGCAACCTTAATAGCACGGCAAGCGACTAACTCATCAAACCGTATCAGTTCAGCTCAACAAAAAAAATAGAAAGAAAACACACATACAATCAGTTTCCAGAAGAAATGCAAAATAAAATCATTGAATAATTGTGAAAAAAAAAAATACTTTGATTTTGTGTGAAATAAAAGTGTATAGATTGAAATTTCCATTAAAGAAAGAAAAAAAATAATACAGGCCGCCTAAGGACAATCGGAGAGAAAGAAAAAAATAGAATTTTGTGTGTCAAAGAACAAAGAAGTGAAAATGTTTTCAGTTTTGCAAAATTACTAAGCAAAGACCAGCGTTTGGCATCATCTTCGCTTTTCCTGCCAATTTGAAATTTGGCCAATTCAGTTCAATTTTTGTGTAATTTCGAAGCGAGGAAAATTTTTCAGTTTTCCGACCGTGCAATGTATATGTACCAAGCAGTGAATGTGTGTTTGTTCGCGTGTGTGTGTAAGCGAGTGTGAAAAAATAAATAAATGCAAAATTTTGTGTACCCTTAAAAAACCCCTGGTGCGCGCTGCCCTCCCTATGGCCAACAACGACTACAACGGCAGCAGCAACAACAACAACAGCAACACCAACAACGGCACGCCAACCATAACGAAAAGTAAACGAAACGAACGACGGGATTCTGGCTTCCTTCTCATCGAAAACTCGGGTTAATTGAAGAAGAAATCAAATGAAATCCGAAACAAAGAGAGCCGAATTGAAATGCAATTTCTGTTTGTAAATTAAAGTGAAATTGAAATTCTCAAAATTTAATTTGTGTGTGAAAAAGTGCAAAGAAATCAAATCAGAAACAAAATAAAAATCGAAAACCCAAAGAAAAACAAGTTGTGATGGGGAAATTTGTATCTTTGAATTGTATCTAAACCTATTTTGCTGGCACATACAAATGAAACAATTCTCATGTCACGGTTTAATTGGATGAAGTTGAATTGAGAGCAGCAGTGGCAACAACAACGCCAACAACAAGAACACAGCTAACAAAAACAAACGCGCGGCCTTTCAAGTATTCCTGTGGTTTCGGGCTTCGTTGTACTTCATAAAGACAGGCAGGCAGGCAGGCATCCAACCTTTCATCCATCTGTCCCGACAGAACACAAAATACACCACACGGAGAGAGAGAGAGAGAGTACGGGAGAGAGAACCAAACTGGAAATAAAATAAACCTTCCTCTGAGAGTTGAATGCGTACTGGTTCGCTCCAGAGAGCGGCGCAGCATACCACCCAATAATAACAACAGCAACAACATCCATCATCATCACCATCGTCGTCAGCAGCCGCAGCATTTGCAAAAGGGAAACACCTTGCCTTTTGTCGGCTGTTGGCCACTACAACACTCCGCCAGTACTGCTGCAAAAGGCCAAAACACACAGCCAGCCAGTCAAGTTATCCAGCCAGCCATTCAGTTGGCCATCCAACCCAGAGGACGGCAAACAAAACGAAACAAAAAAACTAAGAAATTCTCAAAACTTATTGGAATTCAGTGCGGATTCTATTTGAGACGCGTTTTAACCGTGGCAACGCAGGAAAACAAAATCGGTCGTTTGATCTATGAAAATTAACAGTTCCATGTTCGGAATTTTCAAGTTTTGTACTGGATTCGTTTGTTCTTCCTCTTCAGGAGATTTTTCATGTTTCAAAATTTGCCAATGATTGCCGAGGAGCAGTTTTCATTGAGTATGGATTCTCAGCAGCAGCAGCCACAACAGCAGCAACAACAACAACGAGTAAGTATATACCTTATCCTTGTAGACAGACGGTCCTGTAAACCAGTGTTGTAAAGTGTTGCAAATACGATGTTGCCGATTTTGAGCAACCAATACCCAAAAATTCTGATTTGATTCATAGTTACACTCTGTCCGCACTCACACTCACACTCACACAATGTTTAAATGCGTGTGCGTAAGTGTCCTTGCCTGGCCTCGTACTTTGCATTATCGTTATGTTCATCGTTCGTCAAGTATTATGTTTAAACAATTATTTCTTATCTGGCATCTGCTGTGTGACGAAGAGCATGAATTTTAGCCTGACTTGAATGGGATAGGATAGGACAGGGCTGGCCAGTTGAGGATAGAAGAGGGTTGCGGGGTGCTAAGGTGTGGGGTGGGTTCGTTGTTCCTTTTTTCAATTTTTTTTGCTCTCTCTCTGCATGTGTTAAAGGGATAATAAATGTGGTAAGTGGGAGTGGAATTTGAAATTTTATTTGCCAAGAGTTTTCTCGGTTGCCGTTTCAAATTGGATAATTGACGAACACAAAAAAAAAAAGAAAACAAAACATTTGTTGTTGAAATTAAACAAAAGATGTGGACAAAGTGGAAATGACCGTCACAGAATTGAATTGATGGAGGAAAATATTTCTGGAGGACTGGTTGAATATATGTTTTGGAAAAAAAAAATCGACGAACGAGGGGAACCTCCAAAAAAACCGTATAAAGGATTTATATAGGCCACATTTAGGGCCAGAAAATATGATTTTCACAATCCGAAAGTAGATCTTTAGAAATTCACGCTTTAGACAAAAATCTATATGGAAGAAGTAAAATAGTACCAGTTGGTTTTGCAGACAGATGTATTCGACCAGCCTTTAGTTAGGATTATTTAAACTCTTGACCCTTTATGGGGGAGGTTCCGAAGCAGTTGGCCAACATAGACCAATTCGTATCTGACCTAAGACTTATATAAATATTAAAAAGTGCCAGATTTGGACTATATCGACTACTTCTAATACTTGATATGTGGAATTTTTTGGAAAATGTGGAAAAAATGCGTGAGGTAACAGATATATCGTAGCGAAGTATTCCATTAGTATGTGCAAAATTTCAAGGAAATCTAACATTTATATCCAATTTTATGCGAAATTATAAATTTCGATTAATACATATTCATATAAGCTTTCTGGTTAAGAGAAATATTAAGTTATAGCAAGTTGCAAAGAATCACCTACTTGTTTCACAAGTTATGACAGATAAAAGTATTGAAAATGGTGACCCTTTGTGGATGAGGTGCCAGAAGGGGTTCGCAGGTATATATCGTCTTCACAACAGTTCTTGCGTTAGCAAAAATATTTGGATTTGTGAAATTTGAAGAGAGTTGGATGCTTATCTCGCTATCTTTTGCCGTTTTATTTTTCAAAAATCTTGAACCCTATGTGGGGGAGGTAACAGAAGAGATTGTCTCATCTCTACCATTTTTATAACAGATCTTGTGTTGATGGACATATTGAGATTTGGTACATCCAATCTCTGAATGGAATCTCATGTAAATTTCGTGTTTTATGAGCTTCATGAATGTTCAAAATTGTTACCCTTTGTGGGGGAGGTACCAGAAGGAGTGGACAGATATATTCCATCTTCACACTAGACCTTGGGTTAATAAAAATATTGTAATTTGAAGACAATCGGACACTTACATCACACTTATCATTCAAAATTTTGACAATTTGTGGGGGAGGTACTTGATGGAGTGTACCGATATTTTCCATTTTCGCACCTGACCTAGCATTCGCAAAGTTGGAGCAAAAGTGGATTATCCTTTAAATTTTTTTCTTTGAAAATGTTGACACTTTTTGGGGGATGCACCCAAAGTTTGACAGTAATGTGTAACTCCTTCGAGAGGTATCATGCGCACCAGCCAGCCATACAGACGGACGGATGGACATCGCTAGATCGACTCCAAATGTCCTGAAACGGATTTGGTTCAAAGAGACCTAGATACTAACAACGTTATTTCGATGAGGTACATTTTGGCCATATCAAACGATACATACCCTCTCTAGGCTGAGGATATAAAAATCGCCATAGAATTTCCCTATTCCAAATTGTGACCACTAAAATTTACTACAACGGGGTAAACTGATACCATGATAAAAAAGTACATTTTTACCAAATGATTAAAATTCCTAAATCATTGGGTTACCGTTACATGGGCTTTAACAAAAATCCTTTCTAAAGCTTGATCATTTTTTCTACCCGTTGTTAGCCAAAAATAACAAATTTACTAAGTTGTGACCTTAACAACACCAACCAATCGTTATATTGGTGCTATCCCCAAAATGGAGCTAAATATAATATTTTTTCCAATCGATCGGTTTTATATTAAAACGGGGAAAAATATTCTCAAGAAAAACGAGACTCGATAATGTCATTTTTTCCTCAGTTTTGAGTGGAAATTGTATGAAGACCTTGGAAATATAGCAGGCACCCATAAGTCCTGTAGTGTACCTGTCTTGCAAATTTTCTGAAATGCCAAATTGCAAATACTTTGTTTGGAAAATTCGTCTGGAAATCCCAATATATATTGACAATCGGAAAATACTGTTATATAGGGTAATGTGCCGTAAATATTTCGGGGTCCAGATAAAAAAAATCCAATTTAAAATCCCCAATCCCAATCCAATCTGTGTATGTCTCTGAATAGTGTATTCACATTTTATTGCTATGAAGGAAATTAATGCGGAAATTGAAATTGCAGTCCATTTGTTCGAAAATTACGAGTGAGCGTTATATGCAGTGGACGCATAGTGGAATTTTTCCGGAGGAAGTATTTACCAAAAAGAGAATTTGCATTGAAAAATCGGAGAGTGCCTAAATTTGAAATTTCAGAGCGAGATTTTTCTCACAGAAAAGCAGCTACTACTTCCAAGAGATTTAGTGACTGAAGCCTCATATATTATTGTTGTGTAGGGAGATAATGCGAAAATTCAAATTGGAGCTCATTTGTTTGAAAACTATAACTGAAACTCTTAAAATATCCCATATTAGAAGGTACTGTTATATGTAGTTGACCCATAGGGGGAATTTTCTGTAGTCAGTGTTTGTATATTTTGTTAAAAATTGAATCTCAAAATTATAGCTAATACATTGAATATCTTTGAAATACTTAAAAACGGAATGTAGTATTTTAAGAGTGCTATACCAAACAGAGGTCTTGTATTGAGACATAGAAGAGAGCTTATATTTTAAAGTTCAGAGCGAGATTATTCTCACTGAGAACCAATTACTACTTCGAAGAGATTTAGTGGCTCATGGTCAAAAAATTAAAAAAAATTCAAGATTTGAAAGTTCAGATGGAGATTTTTCTCACTGAGAACCAGCTACTGCTTTGAAGGGATTTAGTGGCAGAAGCCTTAATAAAATTTCGAAAATTGGGAGATTTATTCATATGAGAATTATATCCAACGTGGACCATGTTCAATAACAATCATTTGCTGCATACAAATAGTATTGATTTTGGCCTGATTTCAAGAAAGAGTCAGAGAGACCGCAATACAAACATACATTTTGGTGTAACAGACGAATATTTCGCGATGGCTTATTCCTCTTCTTTCCAAAAAAATCTCATTACCAAATAATTGATTTTTAAATACATTTTGGTATCGGGAACTTACAAACCAGCCAAACAATACATTATTTTTTTTACCCTCCATATATTAGCTTTGACATTCCGTTTGTAACTCCTCGAAATATTCATAAAATTCTAAGACGATCTATTCCGTCTGTCTGTTTTTCGTATAGCCTCCATATAACGGCACCTCCTGATATTCGGTATTTTGATGATTTTAGCGACATTATCCACCGGAATTGTTTCAAATTTGGTATTTGAGATTTGATTTCAAATTTGGTGTTTGAAGTTAATACTACAGCCTAAGACAGAAAATTATCTGTGCAGGTCCACGTCTTCGTATAGCCCCTATATAATGGTACCTCCCTATTGGTATTTTGGTAATTGTAGCTAAATTATTAACCGATTTTTTTTCAAGTTTCGCATTTGAATATTGTAATGGCTCATGACAAAACTTGCCTATGCAGGTCCACGTCGTCGTATAGACCCTAATATAACGGCTACATTCGGTATTTCTAAGATTCTAATAGAATTTTTAACGGATTTTATTTTTTTGAAAATTGCCAAATTAGTTTCAAATGGTGGAGGGTATTCAAAGTTCCGCCCGGCCATACAGCTTTTTTACTTGTTTTTTTTTTACTCGATTTGATATTCTTTAAATAATTTTGTACCATTTTTTGGCCGTTAACAACAGAACACGATTTCTTCCAAACGCAAATTTATCATTTTGCGACTATTTTCACTAACTTAAAGACAATTTTCGTTAATTAACGAAATGTTGTTTATTTCTTCAAAGTTGAGAAAAAATACAATTTTCGTTTAAGATAAGTAAATAAAATTTGAATAAAACCCCAGTTCCTTTTTGGTGCCCGGAAAATCTGGCAAAATCTAACATTAGACTAGAGAACACAATAAAGAACTTAATTTGAAATCATATACTTAAATATATACTTCTCAAAATTGTTACCCCCACAAGAAACAATTTCATATTTAATAACACAAAAAAATCGTCCATTTCGTGATTGGAAAAGCCCAAAACGGCAACGTCACACACGGACTCTCCTCGGTTTTATACGCTGCAGTTAATCATGAGAAAGAGAGAGAGTGTGTCGGAGAGCAAGTATACTCTCAAAAGCATTTCCTTTTCCTCACTTCCAAACAAAAAAAAAATATTTCCAGTCATTCACAAAAAGACGAGGACTGCACAACATTTTGCCAAAAAAGGATAATAAGGAACAACAAAAAACTGCTACTCATTTTTTGGACACGAATCTCTTTTGCTGCTCTGCTCTCATCGGCGATGATTTTATTTTTGTCTCGACGTTTTTGTTCTTTTTTCCTTCACTGTCACACACAGTGTGTGTGTGTGTGTATTATTGCCTGTCTC